GAAGTACAGGGTGTGCTCTGTGAGCATGTGGGGCTGTATTTGAAATAATACAAATAATATATTTTATGTCGCACATTTCTCATGAAAGGTACTCAAATTGGACATTTCTTGAAGCAAATTAATATACAATTAGTTTCTGAATTAATTTCTTTTATTACCATCAAAAAACATGAAAGGTTGCATTTATTTGAAACATAGGGTTTATAGTTATTATTATTATTATTGACATTTATCTAGCGCCAACAGATTCTGTAGCGCTTTACAATATTATGAGAGGGGGGATTTAACTAGGATTTAACTAGGACAATTACAAGAAAACTTACAGTAACAATAGGTTGAAGAGGACTGTGGCAAACCTAGCCACTTGGACTATAACTAGATACTGTTCCTTTAAGGGTTGCCTATAGGTCTGGGGAGATATGCGCTTTACTCTTATGTATATGCTTAATGTATTTTCTGCATTGTCTGTAATTATCTGTTCCGCCGAATGCAAATGGCGGTTTGTATGGGGATTCCCTTTCGTTTCATGAACGGCACTTTGGAGGGCCGTTCGTGAACCGAACGCGATACCCCCTAATAGCCCACACACTTAGAGGCGTGTGGCGCTAGTTAACCGATTGCAACAATGTTGCAATCGGTAATTAGAGGCTCTCTTTGGTGGCCGTCGTTTGACTACCGACCATGCGCCGGTCGGCCATCTTGGATCCTTTGTTCCCTCAGCGGGATTATGTCGTCGAGCGCCTGGTACTAAAAAACGGCTACTCGACGGCACGAGCCCCGCTGAGCCTCCAGGGCGTTCGGGAGTTTCGGGACATTCGGTGTTTTGTTCCCTCCAGGCAATCGGTTCTTTTTATATGTTTTATACGAATTGTGTTTTTCGTGCGGCGTTCGGTTGTTTTAGCTGGGATCTGAGCGGTAATCTCACGAATGATGCGCTCAGACCCCAGCTGTCTACCGAACGTCCATTCGTGTAAATCCACCGTGTATTTAACAAGTTATGGATTTTTGTGTGAATTGTCGGTTCTGCTGCACGAGGGGATAATCCACTTAACGGTGCATTCTGGGAAGATGATCCCTCTCGTGCAGCGGTGCCTGATGGGAGAAATATGCTGTAATGTAAGTCCCCCATGTAGTCCCCTCTGGGAGTGCCCCTGGGGAGGGACTCAGGAAACCCCTTGCATGGGGACTTGTATAAATTGTCCTGCCGATTAAAAGGTTGTCAGTTGACTCCCAAAACTGTGTCTCGTCCGGTTATTGGGAGGTTGGGGATATTGCCTTGTTGTTTCAGCGCTTGACTGTGGATTCGTTTCTGAACCAGCGGAATTCGTGGATTTATTATTGGCGTTCCGCTACAATTGGTGGCAGCGACGGGATCCAACTCTACAGCCGAATACAGCGCATTCGAATGAAAGGAACAACCGAACGGAAAGGCAATTCGTATGAAACAAGCAGACGAAAGCGAGCAGTGAATGGGGACGGATTACACGGCGTTAAAGAGGCAGACGCTAAAGGAACTGCTGGAGGATAGAGGGAAAAGCGCTAGCAACAAATCGAAAGCAGTGCTAATTGCAGAGCTGATGGAGGGCGACCAAGCGCACAGCAGTCCACCCCCACCTGCCAGGGAGGAAACCCCGTACCAGAGGGAACTGAGAACCCGGTTAGAATTTGTACCCCAGCCAGTAACCCTGGACATCCTGACCGTACTGATGGCCGACGTCCAGGACTACATTATGGCACAGCAGCACCAGAGGTCACCATCCAGGGCAGAATCCATCGCCAACTCATTCTGCCCTCCAATAAAGCAGAAAATACCGTACCAGGCATTTAAAGCATTCTGCGAGGAGAAGGATGAGATAGACGGATACCTGCAGGATTTCGAGAGGTTATGCGACCTACACGACCTGGAGCCGGCAATGTGGGTACCCCTACTGGCAGGCAAGTTGGCGGGACGAGCAGCGGAGGCTTACCGCGCTGTGCCCAGAGAGGACAGCAAGGACTATTTTAAAGTCAAAAGGGCAATTCTAGAAAGGTATGCCATAACCCCAGAGGCATACCGGCGGAAATTTCGGGGATTGAAAAAGCCTGAAAGAGATTCTCACGCAGAATGGGCGCATAAGCTGGACCAAGCTTCACAAGGGTGGATTCAGGCAAGTCAAGCCACCACCATGGAGGAACTGCGCCAACTCATCTTGCTGGAGCAGTTCTTCAACGGTCTGTCACCAGAGGCACAGGAGTGGGTAAGGGACAGAAAACCTCTCACCCTCACAGCAGCCGCCCGATTGGCAGACGAACACTTTGATGCCCGGAGGCACCACGGGCTCACCAACAGGGGTCCCCTAAGACCGCCAATACAACACCACCCAGCCATCTCCACACCCGCCAACTCTACTCCATTCAGGCCACCACCAGGAAACCCCCCACCGTCCATCCCGCTACAATGGCAGGGCCAACATACAATGCCATACCTGCCGGCAGTGGGGGCATATGTCCCGGGAGTGCACCCAGAATCGGAGCAGGCAGGCGTGGAACCAGGTACGGCAAAACTCCGCTCCAAGGGCGGCGGCCCATTTCTACCACACAGAACCTGACCACTCGGAGCTGGCAAGTCTACAAACTGAGGAACCATTGGGGGTTCTGTATGAAGTGATGTCTGTGCAAGCCACGGACAACCGGCAGCATCACCGCCAAGTTGTGTTTGTGGGAGGGAAAGAAGTGCAGGGGCTGCGGGACTCGGGAGCCACCTTGACCCTAGTGGCCCCCCATTTAATTCCAGATGCGGCCCACACTGGCGGATCAGTGGCGGTCCGGGTAGCAGGGGGAGCCATGTACCGGTTACCCACGGCCAAGGTGCATTTGAACTGGGGTGCTGGGGAGGGGGTTGTGGAAGTGGCCATAATGAAGAAATTACCGGCCGATGTTGTTTTGGGGAATGACTTGGGCCAGATGACTTCTGCTTTTCTACCCCAGGCCCCTTCACAAGAGGCACATCCGGTAACCACCCGGCAACAGGCTCGCACCACGGCATCTCCCGCACACTCTGAGGCTCAGGTAAGACACCATGACCCCCCCTTGACAGACATGACTTGGGACACCCCGACCACTTTTGAAGCTGAGGTTCGGACAGACCCCACACTGCAGGTGTACCGAGATAGGGTAGACACGGACCAGGTGGGGCGGGAGGGAGAACGGTACGTGTGGGAAAAGAAGTTACTGTACCGGGTGGCGGAAAGGGCAATAGGCAACTCTGTGACGCTCCAAACCAAACAGCTGGTAGTGCCCCAGAAGTATAGGCAGGAGTTACTTAGAATAGCCCATGATATCCCTCTGTCCGGCCATTTAGGAATGACCCGGACCCGGTATCGCTTAACGCACGCTTTCTTTTGGCCCGGGATTTCTAAAGACGTGAGGCAATATTGTACCTCCTGTGATGTGTGCCAGAGGGTAGGCAAAAGGGGGGATCGCCACAAGGCAAAACTATGTCCCCTACCTATAATTGAGGAACCGTTCAGCCGTGTAGCAGTAGATATAGTAGGGCCACTACCAAAACCCAGCCCCTCTGGGAAACGGTATATCCTGACCGTGGTGGATTACGCCACCCGGTACCCCGAGGCGATTGCCCTAACTAATATACACGCTGAGACCGTAGCCGAAGCCTTGATGAAGATATTCTCCCGAGTAGGGTTCCCACAGGAAATGGTCTCCGATAGGGGGACCCAATTCACAGCTGAGGTTACTCAGCAGTTATGGAGGATATGTGGCATTAAGCCGATCATTAACTCCGCATACCACCCGCAATCCAATGGATTATGTGAGAGATTCAACGGTACCCTAAAACAGATGCTCCGGACATTCGGAGAGACCCATAAGGACTGGGAACGATTCCTTCCCCATCTGTTGTTTGCGTACAGAGAGGTACCCCAAGAGTCTACGGGTTTCTCCCCATTTGAACTGTTGTTTGGGAGAAGGGTCCGGGGACCGTTGGATCTCATTAGAGAGCATTGGGAGGGAGAGAGTAGCGCAGATGGGACCCCTATTGTACCATACGTGCTGGCGTTCCGGGATCGCCTGGAGGAATTGACCCAGGCAGTGCGCACCAACCTCCAGGCCGCCCAACAACGGCAGCGTCGTTGGTATGACAGAGGGGCCAGAGACCGTAGTTTTCAAGTGGGACAGAAGGTGCTAATCCTCAAACCTGTCCGCACCGATAAACTGCAGGCCGTCTGGCAGGGCCCATACCAGGTGGTAGAGCAGAGATACGACACCACCTATGTGATCGGCCCATGCTCCGGAGTAGGGAAGAGACGCATGCTCCATGTGAACATGCTCAAACCCTACCACGAGCGAACGGAGGACGTGGCAGCTATTTGCACGCCCGCCTCCGAAGATCAGGAGAACCTGCCCCTTCCGGATCTGTTAGAGCAGGAGGAGCAGAAGGAGCCCTCCCAGGGGGTTCAGCTGGGGGAGCGGCTAAGTCCTCAAGAGCGTATCCAGGTACAAGAACTGATAGCAACAAAGGGCGCCACCTTTTCTAACCTAATTCACTCCACTAGCCACCCACCGAGTAGAAACCCCGGGACAGCTTCCCATGCGACAGACCCCATATCGGATTCCTGAATCCGTGCGGGAACATATGAGGAAGGAAATTGAAGAGATGTTGCAGTTGGGGGTTATCGAACACTCAGATAGCCCCTGGGCATCGCCAGTAGTCCTGGTTCCCAAGAAAGACGGTACCACTCGGTTCTGCGTGGACTACCGGAGGTTGAACGACAAAACCGTGTCGGACGCCTACCCGATGCCTCGGATAGACGAGCTGCTAGATAGGATGGCCAGGGGTCAGTATCTCACTACAATAGATCTTTGTAAGGGGTACTGGCAAATTCCACTAGCCGAGGACGCCATTCCCAAGTCGGCGTTTGTCACCCCGTTTGGCTTGTACCAATTTCGAGTCATGCCATTCGGGATGAAAAACGCCCCCGCGACCTTTCAGCGGATGGTGGATCGGCTACTGGACGGGTTCCAGGATTATGCGTGTGCATACCTGGATGATATTGCCATCTACAGTCAGACCTGGTCGGATCACTTACAACATATAGGGGCTGTAATAGATCGGATCCGGGAGGCAGGGCTTACCTTGAAGCCCAGCAAATGCCACATAGGGATGGCAGAGGTCCAATACTTAGGACACCGGGTGGGGAGCGGGCAACAGAAGCCTGAGCCCGCAAAGATTGAAGCAGTAGCCCAGTGGCCTACCCCTAGGACCAAAACCCAAGTTCTCGCTTTCTTAGGTACCGCAGGATACTATAGAAAATTTGTGCCCAATTACAGTGCTCTGGCCAAACCCCTGACGGACTTGACGAAGAAAAACCTGCCCAGGTCATCTGGGCCCCAGAGTGTGAACAGGCATTCAACCAACTGAAGACGGCTCTGACCAATGCCCCTGTACTGGCTGCTCCTGATCCAACTAAACGTTTTCTTGTTCACACAGACGCCTCAATGTTTGGATTGGGAGCAGTACTGAGCCAGGTCGGAGCCGATGGCGGAGAACACCCCGTGGCGTACTTGAGTCGGAAATTGTTAACCCGAGAAGTGAGCTACGCCGCCATAGAAAAAGAATGCCTGGCCGTGGTGTGGGCCCTGAAAAAGTTACAGCCATATCTCTATGGGCAACCCTTTTCTTTGCTCACAGATCACAACCCGTTGGTGTGGGTAAACCGTGTGGCTGGGGACAATGCCAGGCTGCTGCGCTGGAGTTTGGCGCTGCAGCCCTTTGACTTTACGATACACTATCACCCAGGGAAACAAAACGGTAACACCGACGGGTTGTCCAGACAAACAGACCTTGAAAAATGATCTGTGAGCCCTCATCCGGACATCCCCAAGCCGATCCGTTGGGATCAGACTGTGTATGCCGGCTTGGTTCTGGGGGAGCATTGTGGCAAACCTAGCCACTTGGACTATAACTAGAGACTGTACCTTTAAGGGTTGCCTATAGGTCTGGGGAGATATGCGCTTTACTCTTATGTATATGCTTAATGTATTTTCTGCATTGTCTGTAATTATCTGTTCCGCCGAATGCAAATGGCGGTTTGTATGGGGATTCCCTTTCGTTTCACGAACGGCACTTTGGAGGGCCGTTCGTGAACCGAACGCGATACCCCCTAATAGCCCACACACTTAGAGGCGTGTGGCGCTAGTTAACCGATCCTTTGTTCCCTCAGCGGGGTTATGTCGTCGAGCGCCTGGTACTAAAAACGGCTACTCGACGGCACGAGCCCCGCTGAGCCTCCAGGGCGTTCGGGAGTTTCGGGACATTCGGTGTTTTGTTCCCTCCAGGCAATCGGTTCTTTTTATATGTTTTATACGAATTGTGTTTTTCGTGCGGCGTTCGGTTGTTTTAGCTGGGATCTGAGCGGTAATCTCACGAATGATGCGCCCAGACCCCAGCTATCTACCGAACGTCCATTCGTGTAAATCCACCGTGTATTTAACAAGTTATGGATTTTTGTGTGAATTGTCGGTTCTGCTGCACAAGGGGATAATCCACTTAACGGTGCATTCTGGGAAGATGATCCCTCTCGTGCAGCGGTGCTTGATGGGAGAAATATGCTGTAATGTAAGTCCCCCATGTAGTCCCCTCTGGGAGTGCCCCTGGGGAGGGACTCAGGAAACCCCTTGCATGGGGACTTGTATAAATTGTCCTGCCGATTAAAAGGTTGTCAGTTGACTCCCAAAACTGTGTCTCGTCCGGTTATTGGGAGGTTGGGGATATTGTCTTGTTGTTTCAGCGCTTGACTGTGGATTCGTTTCTGAACCAGCGGAATTCGTGGATTTATTATTGGCGTTCCGCTACAAGGTCCCTGCTCAAATGAGCTTACAATCTATAGGAGGTGGGGTATAAAACACATTAGGACAGTAAATAGCAATCAAATAAGGTGGGAGTGAAGCAGAGCTGGAGGAGAGTAAAGTGCTGCCCTTTAGGAGGGAGCAAGAGACAGGTATGTAAGATAGAGGTTACTCTGGGAGGCCATAAGCTTTCCTAAAGAGATGAGTTTTAAGTCACTTTTTGACGAATAAAGACTAGGGGAGAGTCTGATAGTGGTAGGCAGGCTATTCCATTAAAAGGGAGCCGTCCGCAAGAAGTCCTGCAAGCGTTAGTTGGCAGTTCAGGTGTGAGCAGCGGACAGGAGAAGGTCACGGGCAGAGCAGAGAGACCGAGAAGGGGCATACCTATGGATCTGTGAAGAGATATAAGAGGGGCTATAATCGTTCAGTGCTTTATATGTATGGGTTAGCACTTTGAATTGGCTCCTATAGGATACAGGAAGCCAATGTAAGGACTGACAGAGGGGTGAGGTGTGAGAGGAGTGGCTGGAGAGGAAAATCAGTCTGGCGGCAGCATTTATTACAGACTGTAGCGGGGCAATATGGCTTTTGGGAAGACCAATTAGGAGAGGGTTACAATAATCCATGCAGAAAATTATAGTTACCCCATGATCTTAAAGGGATACCATTGTGTAAAATCGTTTGAGCAGAACCCTCATCTACCTATTGTTCCTGTGTAATTGTCTCATTTATTGTATATTCCCACGATGAGGCGGAGCTTACTGTGTGGCGGGGTCGGGGCTAAATTAGCCAGATAACTGCAGCATGGGAAGCAGGAAGGAGTCCCTGCTTCCCCAACAACCAGTCTCCAGGAGCTCCAAGGGATGTGGAGGTAAGAAGCAGATGTGTGTGTGTGTGTGTATGTATGTGTGTGTGTGTGACTGCCTGTGTGTGTGTGTGTGTGTGACTGCCTGCGTGTGTGTGTGTGTGTTTGTGACTGTCTGCCTGTGTGTGTGTGTGTGACTGTCTGCCTGTGTGTGTGTGTGTGACACTGTCTGTCTGTGTGTATGACTGCCTGCCTGCGTGTGTGAGTGTGTGACTGTGTGTGTGTGAGTGTCTGCCTGTGTGTGTGTGAGTGTCTGCCTGTGTGTGTGACTGTCTGCCTGTACGTATGACTGTCTGTCTGTGTGTGTGTGACTACCTGCCTGTGTGAGTGTGTGCCTGTGTGTGTGTGTGTGTACGACTGTGTCTGCCCTATATTGTGTGACTGTGCACCTGTGTGTGTCATGTGCATGTGTGTGTGAGTGACTGTCTACCTAGTAATGTGTGTGACTAATGTGACTGTCTGCCTGTGTGACTATCTGTGTGTGTATAGTGTGTGTGTGTGAGCTTCTGCTGCCTGTGTGGGTGACTGTCTGCCTGTACATATGACTGTATCTGTCTGTGTGTGTGTGTGTGACAACTGCCTGTGTGAGTGTGTGCCTGTGTGTGTGTGTGCTTAGGCTTTATCTGCCCTATGTGTGGCTTCATACACCTGTAATGTGGTATGTGTGTGTGTGAGTGTGTGTGTCGTGTGTGTGTAGTGACTGTCTGCCTGTGTGTGTGACTGTCTGCCTGTGTGTATGACTGTCTGTCTGTGTGTGTGTGTGTGACTACCTGCCTGTGTGAGTGTGTGCCTGTGTGTGTGTGTGTGTGACTGTCTGCCTATGTGTGTGACTGTCTGCCTGTGTGTGTGTGAGTGTGTGTGTGCGTGTGTGTGTGTGGTGACTGTCTGCCTGTGTGTGTGTGACTGTCTGTGAGTGTGTGACTGTCTGTGCGTGACTGTCTGCCTGTGTGTGTGCGTGACTGTCTGCCTGTGTGTGCGTGACTGTCTTCCTGTGTGTGCGTGACTGTCTGCCTGTGTGTGTGTGTGTGTGTGTGTGTGTGTGTGTGTGTGTGTGTGTGTGTGTGTGTGTGTGTGTGTGTGTGTGTCTGTGTGTGTGTGTGTGTGTGTGTGACTGTCTGTGTGTGTGTGTGTGTGTGACTGTGACTGTCTGTGTGTGTGTGTGTGTGTGTGTGTGTGACTGTCTGCCTGTGTGAGTAAGTGACTGTCTTCCTGTGTGTGTAATTGCCTGCCTGTGTGAGTGTGTGTCTGTGTGTGTGACTGCCTGTGTGCGTGTGACTGTTTGCCTGTGTGACTGTCTGCTTGTGTGTGTGTGTGTGTGTGTGTGCCTGTCTGCCTGTGTGTGTGACTGTCTGTCTGTGTGTGTGTGACTGTCTGCCTGTGTGGTGACTGTCTTCCTGTGTGTGTGCCTGTCTCTGCCTGTGTGTGTGTGTGTGGGTTGCCTGCCTGTGTGAGTGTGTGCCTGTGTGTGTGTGTGTGACTGTCTGCCCTATGTGGGACTGTCTGCCTGTGTCAATGAGGGGTGTGTGTGTGTGTGTGTGTGTGTGACTGTCTGCCTGTGTGTGAGGTGTGTGCTGTGTGTGACTGTCTGCCTGTGTGTGTGGCTGTCTGCCTGTGTTTGTGTGGTGGGTGTGTGTGTGTGTGTGTGTGTGTGTGGCTGTCTGCCTGTGTGTGAGTGTGTGACTGTCTGCCTATGTGTGTTTGTGACCGTCTGCCTGTGTTTCTGTGTGTGTGACTGTGTGCCTGTGTGTGTGTGTGTTTGACTGTCTGCCTGTGTGTGTGGCTGTCTGCCTGTGTGTGTGACTGTCTGTCTGTTTGTGTGTGGCTGTCTGCCTGTGTGTGTGTGAGTGTGTGACTGTCTGTCTGTGTGTGTGACTGTCTGCCTATGTGTGTGTGTGTGACTGTCTGCCTGTGTATGACTGTCTGCTTGTGTGTGTGTGTGTGTGACTGTCTGCCTGTGTGTGTGTCTGTCTGCCTGTCTCTGTGTGTGTGGATGTCTGCCTCTGTGTGTGTGTATGTGTGTGTATGTCTGCATCTGTGTGTGTGTGCATCTGCTAGTGAGTGAGCTTCTGTGTGTGTGTATCTGCTAGTGAGGGAGCTTCTGTGTGTGTGCGCCTGCTAGTGAGTTTGTGTGTGTGTGTGTGTGCCTGCTAGTGAGTGAGCCTGTATGTGTGTCAGTGAGCTTGTCTGTACGGAGCATGGGTGTGTCTGAGCCTGTCTGTAGTGACCACATGTAGTAAGCATGTGTGTGATCGTGAGCTTGTCTGTAGTGAATCTGTGTGTTAGTGAGCTCTTCTGTAGGGAGCATGTGTGTGCCAATGGGCTTGTCTGTAGGGAGAGTGTGTGCGCATCAGTGAGCTTGTCTATAGTGAGCGTGTGTGTGTGACAGTGAGCTTTTCTGTAGTAAGCTTGTGTGTTTATCAGAGTTTCTCTGTACTAAATTTGTGTGTGTACCAGTAACCTTGTCTTTGTGTGTCATTGAGATTGTCTGTCAATGAGCCTATTTGTGTGTATCAGTAAGATTGTCTGTGTCTGCATGTGAGTATGCTTTACTGTATAATTTAATACTCTT